GAATACTAACGATGTGTTTATTGGGCGGGAACGCAGAGCGAACCACAGCTGACGGGACAGGTTCAGAGAGCTATGAGCGGGGAATGAGGATCTCGGAGAGAGGGTCTATATTTTATTTAAGTGGCTCTGGGCTGGGCTTGAGAGAGACACTCAGGTAATGTGTTGTGTTACAACTCAGTAGTCGTTCCCCCCAGCCGGAGCGATAACAGTCCAGCTAATGGGAAGCCATCAATCACAATCAGCCTGCTACTCCTCCACTGCCTCCCCTCCGCAGCTCCAGGACCGGAGCAGAGCCAGAGCTAGCCGGCTCCCGGCCGATCCCGGAGCAGCAGCAGTCTGGCCTGTCAGCACGTCTGAGGGAGAGCCACAAAGGGCCGGCAGAGCCAGTTAAGGCCGGACAAAGCAGCTGGGGGAGCTCGTGAGAGCTGCACTCAGGTGGGATAAATGAGTCCAGGCTTTGTTGCCAGCAGCAGCTAATTGGTTTTTCATCAGGCGGTGAGCAGACTGCTGCTCCGGCTCCAGCAGGGGGACGAGGGAAACCACACACTACCGCCACACTACAGCCTCACACCCCATTCTACCGATTTGATCAGCTCAGCCTTCAGAGCTGTACAGAGGCCAAACCAGAAACAACAGACAACGGGGGCTGGTGTTTTTATTCTAATGCACGTTTTCTCTTCTCCCACAGTTTTGGCCCCCAGGAGACGGAGGAACAGAGTCTGAACCAGACCCAGAAAGACGGATCCAGCAGTCTGAACCAGGAGCAGGACCACATCAGTGGGTGAGATGGAGACTCTGTCATGGCACCGGAGCCAAACCCTCAGCCTACCCGTACACAGCCCCAGAGGCCGTGCGGCTCACCACAGAGCAGCAGACAGAGCAGCTCTCTGTGGAAACACAACCAGTAATCCCACATGTCCCTTCAGTTTCCACAGACCAGCAAACCTCCCCCCGGCCTTCTGCCCCGTGAGCAGGACCCGGCTGAGGTTCTGATAGAGGATGTGGGAGCCTGTTTAGGTGAGCAAACACAGGAACGAGTCCCCGGATGTATTTATGTGTAGAGGATTGTGTGCTTCTATCTGTCTTTGTGCACAGAAAATACCTCCTGTCTCCCCCAGCTCAGGCAGCCTTATCTCCAGCATTATTTCCAGAGGTACATGTCTAATTTTCTGAGGTGCATTTAGAGTTTTGCTACCCAAAGTGTGAGTGTGGATGTAAAATTGGGCGATGACCAGAAGGGGGCGCAGAAGTACCCGTCTCCTCCTCCAGAGGAATTCACGAGGAGCTGGATGTCTCACTGTAAGAAGGTAGGGAGCAGATAGACTCTAATGTTTGTTGTTTTTAGCAGATTTCTGAATGAACAGCATCAGCGTCTTCCTGAAGACACGTTTCTGTCATGGCTGATGCACCGGGGGTTTGACCCTAATAAAGTTTGTCAATAACATGTAGGTGTTAGTGTTACTTGTATATTTTTAAATGTAGTGAAATAATAACATTATTATTTCTTGATTAAGATGTCAAATAGTATTTATCCCTCCTCATTCCTGAACAGAAAATCTAGTTTTAGTGGTTGAATTTCCTATCAGAGAAGCCCTGAGAGTTGCTTGAAAAACAAAAGCTAAGTGAAGCAGATCTGAAGGAGCAGAAACTGGATCAGAGCTGGAGAAAGTCTCCAGAAGGCTGATGGAAGAAGGCTGAAGGGAAGCAGAAAGAAGCTGTATCTGAGGCCTGCAGAGGTCCACCAGCAGCTGGAGGACCAGAGCTGGTGGAGGAACCAAAGCAGAGTCCATGTGGGAGTCAGGAGACTCAGAGAAGGATCACACACAAGATTCATCCAGAGCAAGAGCAGCTGGAAACTGCTGCTATCAGAGCAGATGAGGTTTAAGCTGATTCTGAAGGAAAAGGAGCCTTTAGCTGCGTCTGCCAGTCATCAAAGGAACAACTGTAACCTTTTGGTTTTTGGAAGATTTCTAAAATAAAAGGAGTTCATCTTGCCTCACTGGGATGTCCCATTGTACCATTTCCTGTGTGAAACAACAGAGAATGAGAGGCTTTGATCCAGTCTGAGATTCACTGTGTCACAGCTAGCTGTGGGCTGCATGGTGGTACCGAAATGTCCTCCAGAAGAACAAGGAGCCAAAAAGAAACAGATGCTCTGTGTCCTACCGCTGGTCATCTGAGCTGTGTTCTCATCTGTCCCACACATCAAACCCCGGTGTGACAGAAGGAAGAGCCGCCCTGCTCTGCCCAACAGGCAGAGGGAAGACGCCCTGAACCTGAGCTCTACACGGGCTGATGTGCACAGAGGGGAGGTGACCTGCAGGAGAAACCTGCAGGCTGACGGTGGAAGGAGGCGGTCCTTGCTCTGAGTGTGTGGGAGGCCGGCTGGGAGCCTCTTTGTGTCTAATCACACATGGCACTGGCGTCAGACGGTGATTTCCTGCCCTGACACCAGCTCCAGAGAGACTCGGTCATGGAGGTCAGGCTGG